TATACACACACACACACACACACACACACATACATACATACACACACACACATACATACATACATATATACATATACATACATATATATATATATAATCTTATAGCCTGGATACTCTACAGCCATTGCTACCATACCCAGTGCTTCGTTAATGAGCAAAATAGTCAGACAGTGCATTTTTCATTATTGTCATAAAAGTGAAATGTTGGGTAACAAGATAGTTGACAAGTGAGGAGCAGGTGTGTAAAGGTATTTGTTAAAGGCAAAAACAATATAACTATACCTCTTAAATTTACCAAAGTAACTGTGAAGTGAATTCAATATAATTAATTCATTAGTTAATTAATCAACTAATTAATTTTTAAAACTGCACTGAGGTATCATTTCTCATACATTAGATGACAGAAATCCAAAAATTCAGTAAGACCCTCTATTGGTGGTGGGAGAAATAGATACCGTCATATTTTGGAATAGAGAATGCAGAATATTATAATATCCATAGAAGGACATTTGGAAAAGATCTTCAAAACTGAAGATTTATTTACCTCTTAACTCAGCAATTTTGCTTTCAGGAATTACTAAAACAGATAAATATACACCAGTATGAAATAGCATGGAACATTAGAAAACCACAATAAAATGGGCAGTGTTGAAAGAAAGGGAGCCAAAGTCTCATTATCCTCACTTCTAAAGAGCATTCTGATTGTATTTCTTCTAAGAATGATTGTTTTCACTTAAACAAACAAAAAAAAATAGGAAAGAGTCCTTATGTTGTGGATGAATATCCATATTATCTGCTGTCAGTAACAATTCATGGTTTTACTCTGAAATCTTCTTGTTAAAGCTAATGGGAAGTGCTCTAACAAACTAGGAATAAGGAAGTTGATTTTTACAATCAAAACCTACATCAGATTTCAGCCCAAGATGAACTTTTCTCAGGGAATTATAAAGGTTATGGAAATTCACAAGTTAAATTAACCATAATGTTTAAATAGATGTGAAATGGAAACTTTTATATTTAGGTATTTTTCAATTGGGGAAACTTCCAGAACATAGTCAGAAGTGAATGTGTATTTTGGCTGAGGTTAAAATGAATTCATATTACAATCAATATGAAAACAGATGGAAGATGACAGATGGAGTGACCAGGGTCTGAAACTAAGGATAACCTCTACAGGGCACTGTTTGGCTCCTTCTTGTTTTCTCATTTTCACTCTTACCTCTTTTATCACTTTTTCCAATTTTTTTTTCTTTCTTTCATTTCTCATACATCTGACTTCTGTACTACTTGACGCTGCGTGGCATTTCAGTCCTTGACTATCAAAGTTTAAGCATAGGTACTGAAACAAGGCGGGCTTGTGCTTACTCACTGATCTGCACTGAACACGTTCCCTTGTTACCCTA